CTAGATGGTATCTTGAACTACAACAGTTCAAGTTCTGTGTGGCACAAAGCAGGCAAGGAAAATGTCACCGTGGACTACCTGTCAAGGCTGCCAAACATCGTTGATGCAGGAGAGGAGGGTGGTAATGTGAAGAAGAAGCCTTCATCACAGTTGGGATAGGGGCATGGTAAAAGGCACACTGAGGGAAACACATTAATAACTTAGCTGGACATAGTGTTAATTTCGTTGACTAAAACTATGACGAAATATGTTCGTCAACAACCTTTTTTTCCATGACGAAAACGAGACGATGACGAGACGGCACCGACGGCAGTAAACAATAACTGTAACGAAATCATCATGCAATATCGTTGACGAAAAGTGACGAGACGAAAATGTGGTTTACTAAATAAAAACTATGCCAAAATCTCTCTTTACTTTCGTTGATGAAAAATGAGGAGACTAAATATTATCAAAGATAACGTTACATCTCTGATAGTCAGTTTTTCTCCCAGCAGTTCCATTTCCGGTGCTGCGGCTGGGCAGCAGCTGTGTGTCTGTGGTGCGCGTGGCGGTAGATTTGAATTACACCGGGCAGCGGCAAAATATGAACTGTCAGGAAGACTCGGGTCTAATTCATGGTCTAACTCAGTGTTTTTCAAAGTGGGGGCTGCCAGGGGCGTCACGCAAAGTTTGAGGGAAACAGGATTTTTTTTTTTTTAAAGTTTAATTTTTTAGATGTTATTAATAACTGTATATCTATCAATCTATGTGTCCTTTGATGCCAATATTTTAATATTTTTTGTTTTTGAATCACACAACCGCCCTTCAAGCCAATCAGAATCGAGCTGCCGCTACTGAGAGTGAAACTGAGTATCTGCTCAGCTTTTGGAGCAAGTGAGAGCTAGTGAATGTTTCGCTCTGCAGCTGGATGAGAGCACGGATGTAGCAAATGTCGCAGAATTGCTTGCATACATCAGATTTATTTCAAGAAGACAACTTTGTTGAGGAAATATTATTTTGCAAAGCACTGGAATCATTTAAAAAGGGTTGGACTAAAAAACTGCAACAAGGGGGTCCCCGCCAGAGGATAATGCTATATGGGGGTCCTTGGCATGGCAAAGTTTGGGAACCCCTGGTCTAACTAACCTTATTTAACAGAAAATAAAATGGCAACAACAGGGCTTGGGAGAAGTGGTCGCACTCACGTTAACCGAATACCCCCCCGTCAGCGCGAGTGATTGATAAATTGTGCACTCGACGGATAATAATGGATTATGACGGAAGTGTTACGATCCTGTCCGTCAAAATTACTGAACGAAAAAGTCTAAAGCTACCACTGCTTGGGAGAAAGAAACAATGTGATATTTGGGCCCATTTTCGCTACAATGAGGTGGAGAAAAAAAGCGAATGCATTGTTTTATCAGAAGGGAAGCAATGTGGCCATAACACAGCTGGTAAAAACACCACAAACCTGACCAGATATTCTCTGCAAAGCTGCATTCTTAATCAATCAACCTGTGTTTTTTCATCAAATAAGGACAAGATATAATCTTATTGTGAAATACGTTTGACTAAAATGACAAATGATTGGTTTTGGCTAGACTAGTTTGACTGAAATGTTCTATATAATCTGATGACTAAAAAAGACTCAACAGTTTTCATTGACAAAAAGTAAACTAAAATAATTAGTTTTCTTTGACTAAAATAAGATAAAAATGCTCAGACTTTTAGTCGACTAAATCTTGACTAAAATGTTTACTGTTTTAGTCGACTAAAATAAGACTAAAATGCTCAGACTTTTAGTCGACTAAAACTTGACTAAATAAAAACAGGATGAAGGTGACTAAATATGACTAAAACTAAAAAGGAAATTTAACACAGGACTAAGACTAAAACTAAATAAAAAAATAGCTGACGAAATGAACACTAGCTGGACATTGATAAAATAAAACCCAAGTCATTGTTTGTTCAAGACAGATTTATTTGAAGTCATATACAACTGTGCTGTGCCAAAGTAACCTGCTTACCCTCTCGTTCAAGGTTGTGAAGGCCAAACAGATCAACAGAAAACTGCAGCCTTAAGTAGAGGCTCAATCAGTGGAAACACCTGTGCTCAATTGGAGCATACCATGTAGTGCATGGGCACGGGTGGCAATTTTCTTCCAAGTGTAAAACTGTTATTGTTTAAGGCTTCTGTGGTCAGAAATATAGAATATGTCGACCTATTTGATTTATTGTGTTCAAATAATTTGCCTTACATTTTGAATATGTTTGTAGATAAGAATAACATTAATTAAGGGTATAAATAGTGGATTGTCCTATGGGGAGGGGCATAACATATATTATAAACCTCTGGCCACAAGTGTTTTGAAGTTAGTCTGGCTGTAGAGCAGAGAGGTACCAGTTATATGTCCTCGATATTGAGGTTTTCTTTCTGTAGATCCTTGTTACTTTGTGTTTTTTCAGCATTTTGGCTGTTAATAAAAGCACCTAAGGATATATTTTTTGTAACTCTAGCCATCTTATTTAATTCCTAGTTTTTTCATCGACCCTTGTTGTAACAGTGTGTGTTGGAGGAGGGGCTCTGTAAGGAAGTGGCAGAATTTTTCCGGTTGTGTATTTTCAAATTCTAGCGCACTCAAACTGGCTTCTCCAAAATGACCTACCCCACCTTAAGTACTGTACCTAAGTACAGTGCATAAATACACTTAGTTACACCACTGCCATAAGTATTTTTTACTATATCATAATGTATATGGTCACCATATTTTCAACTAAAATTGTCGAATAGATGTCATGTAAAAAGGAAAATATTTCACTCTGAAATTATGTGATATGGAAATACTGAAGTTCATCAAAATTGTACTTAAAGGTAGGGTAGGTAAGAATGGAGAAACCAGCTCAAGTGCGCTAGAATTTGAAAGTATGCAGCCGAAAAAAATCTGCCACTTCCTTACAGAGCCCCTCCTCCAACACACATGAACCAATGAGGGCACGAGATAAGTTTGTGCACGAGATGGAAGGCTGACAGGCAGGTAGGCCATCCAATTATTTTAGCCGGCTAAAATAATTGGTCGTGCTTTTTACAGCGCCACGGCTTCCACAGATTTGTTTTGTTTATTGTCAAAGCATTTAATATATTCATTGCTATCGGGATGTTAAGAGCATTCCATTGAATATAACAAAGTGTTTCTGAAGTGAATTACCCCACCTTTAAGTAGAGAACTTGAGTAAATGTATAGGTGACTTAAATATTGTGGAAACTCAAATGATTAAGATGTATTTATGTTTTTTAAATGGAAATACAAGAGCAACATAGGCAAATAAATGATTAATCATTATGCATATAATAATCTCATAGCCTATTCATATACTGTATGATTGGCAAAGTCAGGGGGAACTTACTCATCAATAGAACAGGAACTTCCAACTGCTGCCAAGAGGTCACACTATTCATATTCTAGGGTTCAATCAGTTGTGTTTGATTTTGTATTTGTTGATCTTTTTCTATAATTGATCTAAATCTTCAAAGTAACTAAAAAGGTACACAGGACAATTTGTTCCTCTGGGTTAACTTAAAGGTCTCATGTCATGGCCATTTCTACTGATCATATTTCCATTGTTGAGGTCTACTAGAATAGATTTAAATTGTGCAATTTTCCAAACTCACATTGGTTTCTCATACAGCATCTCTGTATAGTATGTGTATTCACTCTGTCCTGAACGGCTTGTTGGAGCTCCTGCCCACCCCTCCTTGCTGACAGGTTTCCGGGTCGGCGATACAGCGAGAACAAGCTAAACTCATCCTGAGCACACACAAACACTCACAATAAGTGTGGCTTGATATTGAGTATAAAAAAGGTTTATAACGCTGTGAGAATGGATCTGCGGAGAGCATTTCTCCACGATCCCAACTCGTCTATTACCAGCGTTCAGGGAGCTCTATGCAAGTCAATGGGGGCTCCCTGTTAGTTAGCCAAGGGATCCTGGTGTGTGAAGTGCTCCGCGGATTGGTCCCTTTGGGCCAATCCGGTCATTTGTTGTTGATTTGGGTATTCGCACGTCACAGAACCCAGGAGGCAAACAATGGACAATGAGAAATCTCCAACGAGGCGTTTTGGGGCAGCATAGACAGGTATTTTCTGTGTTAGAGTTTTACTCCCTACAGGGTGTACTTTGAGGGTTTTTGACTCTGCAGACCGTTTACATGCATAAAAACCTTCATAACACACCAGGGGACGGGTAATAACCGGAAAAGCATGACATGGGCCCTTTAACAAGCCTCTTTATTGCTACTAACCTTATGATTCATTGTATTGCATTGTGTTTAAAAAAATGTAGAAGGAGGGAGGGACATATAGAAAATGGGTGGACCAAAGAGAAATGACGAAGACTAAAGTAGGAGTTCAACAAACAAGGTATTACGATGCGTGAAAAAGGTAGGACCCAAATGCAGTATTAACAAAAAGCGAGCTTTAATTTACAACAGCCGATGACAAAAAGAAAACGAGACAAACTTAACATTACCAAAACAGGGGAGCTCGAGTAAAGAATCCAGGATCAAAACTACAAGGACAAACATGGAGCGTGACGTGAAGGGAAAGACAAACAATGAACCGACAGGGAAAGACAAGACTAAATACAGAGAGGGGTAATCACGGGACAAGAAACAGCTGGGTAAAGGAGGCAGAAACACAAGGGCAACAGGTGAACACAATGAGACAATCAGACACACCAGGGAAACTAACGACAGGAAGGCAAACACAGGAAGAAGGATCAGACAAGACACAAGGAGGAAAACATGCGACAGGGAACACAGAAGAGAAAAATAAAACCAAAACTTAACACACAAAAATCAAATCCTGACACAAGACGCAAACAGAAGGGGAAAGACACAGATAAAGTGCAGTGAAGAGAGGACTTGCAGAAAGAGATCGGGATGAAGCGACACCCTGAGAAGTTATCTATCTCTTTGATGATCACTGTCCTCTGTTTGGGGAGCCTGCTGACAACTGCTCTCTGGATCATTGTGGACAACAGGTAAGCATGTCATACTTGTTCCAACAACCTGTTGAACAGGTTTTTTGTTTACCCAGGTATATGTTCCTCACAAGGCATTTGTTTTAGTTGTCAAGTGTTCCAATTTGGTGGGACCTCAAAAATGTAAGTTACGGTAAGTAAAATATATTTATTCTGTCTAAGACAGAAATGTAAATTCACACAAAGTAATACGATTATTCATTCTGAAGACAACACACCAGTTTAAATGTTTATCCATTTAGTATTGTGTCAAGATAAACACCTAATTTACCATCTGTCTTTGTATTTGGCTATGTGTTAGCAAAGTTTAACCATGTGTAACCAATTGTTTTAAGGATGGCTTAACCAGATAATTTTCATACATTTATCATGCAAGTGGCGATTTTTTTGTTGTGTCGGTTTGACAAGTTTAAATAATTGCAAATGTTATATTGGTTTCACATAAGATATTTTATATGGGGCTATGGGTTAGCAAGTTTAGCCACGTGTTAGCTAGTTTTTAAGCTGTTTAACCCAACCCGGTATCCCGGCAAGACGTGAACATGTGACGATTTACCATGCTGGGAGACGTGAAGATGTCACGATTTCGTCCCTTCAAACGTGACGGTTACACGGTATTGTTAACATGGCCCAAAAAAATGCTCTCACTGATCACCATGGAAACCTGTGATCTCTGGACACGTCATTAGCTCAAATATAAACACCTGTGTCATGGAACACGATGATGTCATAACTCCAATTGACATAATTAGAGCAGCAGACTAATGACGTGGTCACTGGAGTTTAACAGACTGTGTCAGCCTATTATTTTCCGTCTGATGGAGACTTCATACTGACTTCAACATGTTCCACATATTTTAGACATTATTGGTGACGTATGCTTTTGGTTCTAAAGTTTTCAGTTCACATATTCTGCTGCTTTTTCATGCATTTAGACTTTTATTTTCTTGTTCTTATTTCACATTCAAGTCCACTCTATTCATGAACCCTTTAAAGTACTCAGCCACACCACTTATATACCAGGTGCGACTGTTGCTATGTGAGTTAATCTTTCAAATACAAGATTGCTTGTTTGATTCAAGCTCTTGTAGTCAATATGTCAAGGTATTTATCCCTAACATTTTATCAGCTAACTAATGACACACACTCGGAGGATCTTTATAAACGTTTTAAGTATTGCACATCTTTAAACATGACTCTTATAAATCACTTTTAAAACCAGCGATCCACAACAGTGTCAGCTTTTCTAAAATAGAAACTTCAATGTTCACATCTCTCTAAATTATTCTACTTTTCAATGACCTACAAATAATCCTAATACTAATCCCATTTCCAATCTTCCAACTGTTCATATTTTTTGGTCAATTAACAAACCTGTTACAAATGTGTTGTTCAACAAATGTGAGCCTTTGCCACATTTATTTGAATTATTTATATAATTCCTACATAATGGGGAAGCTTCCCACTCTATGGGCCCTTCTCACTTCTCTTATTTGTAATTTCCTCGGTCTCGGTCTCACCGGAAGTTGATTTGTCTGGGCCATCTTGAGTAGCGTCCCAATGGCCTTATTTTTGTCGGATGAGCGAGGAGCGATAATGGAGGAGCTATAACCGAGGAACCACCAGACCATCCTTCGATGAAATCCTCAGATACTCGCCCCACCCCCTTACTGTGTATCGCTCACTGATTGGACGAGGCAGTGCATGCACTGATCTGATGCTTCTTGACATGAGAGCATTTTCCCAGCGGAGTGAGGAAAACACATGAACCTCACGAGAGTCACTCCTCAGTTTATACCGTGTTTTGTTTCAATTCATGTATCATTTAGTTACAAATATGTGATATATCTGAACAACAAAGTGGTCAAAAATCATGTTATTCATTGTTTGGAAACATTTTCATGATCGCTTTTTTTGTTTTACATTTTCATTTATTGTCATTTCCATTCAGTCAGTCATTAAGTGCTATTTAAAATGTTAATGTGCTACATATCCAAACAAAGTGTGCAATCCAATGAATGTTAATCTAACTGGGTTTTGATAGATAACATATCTCTTTTTCTTCTCTCAATAATTTTATTTCTATTGTGCACTCTAATAATATTAATCAAACTATTGTTCGTTTATACTTTTTAAGAATGTCGTTTATCTTTTTTGAGAATGAGTTCTTATTTCATTTTATTTATTTGGGTCTACAACAGATGATACAAATGTTTGTGTCAGTAAATGTGTGGCAGGGGTGTGTGTGGAAATAACGGGGACAGAGCTGCTGTCAGACGATCAGCTGTGCGGCGTCATCACAAACGGACGTCGCTTCACGTGACGCTCCGGAGGAAAGGACGTCCCATTGCTCTTAAAACTCATTTCCCTGCTTCCCTGGTGGGAGGGACTAGTCACAGGGAAACGACGCAAGTGAGGGACGCAAGGAATCCATTTAACCGAAGTGAGAAGGGCCCCGGGTTATGTAAATACAAGTCTTTGACAAGAAAATATGTGAATTTCTAAATATTTAATGTCAATCCCTGGTTTTGGTTCTAGTATGTTCACTGTACTGTAGGTTATTGCAAATACCATTGCAGGCTGCTTTAACTGCAGTTCAAAGCTGTTTCTGCACGTCTGTCTTTATGTATGAGGGTGTTTTTGATAATGGATCCTGACCACTCACATTTGTACACTGTGGAGTTAAACAAATTAAATTGTTAGCTGAAATATAAACACCTGTGTCATGGAACACGATGTCATAACTCCAACTGACATGCTCAGAGCAGCAGACTTCAGATAATGGTTAACACAGCTCTGTCAATTATGGGGTGTCATCATATGCCGTTTCCATGGAAACACATCCCTCGCCAAAAAACACGATGTTGTCGTAACTGATATGAAAATGGTCAAAACACCACCAGACTTTAGATGACAGTTAATGGTCCAGCCCTCAACATGTCTGTGCCATTGGTGAGTTTTCCTCAAAAGCTGTTGCCATGGCAAAGCATCCCTTGCAATAAAACACGATATTGCTATAACTCCTATGAAAATTGTCAAAAAGTGCTAAAACTTCACATGTGTGCCAACAGTCCAGCCGTGAAGACATGGGACAGTTTTGAGATTTATTCAAATGCTGTTGCCATGGCAACACAATGCTCGCCATGAAACGTGGTTTTCTCATAACTTCAGTGAAAATGCTCCAAACAGCCCAAAACTTCACAGGTATGGTAACGATGCAGCCATCAACATATCTAAGCGTATTATGGGATGTCATCAAATACCGTCACCATGGCGACGGATCATTCGCCATCAATTTAGTTCAATAGTTGGCAATTCAAATATTCTGCAGCTTTTCCAAGCCATTTTACTTTATTTTCTTCTCTCATCACACATTCAAGCCCCCAGTGTTCATGTATCATTTCAATCTAAATTCTTTACTTTCTTCTTACACATTACATTTCAGCATAGAAATTCAGCGTCAGCTTTTCAGCATAGAGCATTCCCACTAGCAATTTCTTCAGGAATTGCATTTTCTAGTTATGTTCTTGTTTGTTCTAGTTCCTTTTGGGTTGACATGGCCGTGAAAACGCCAGCCAAGTTGCAAATTCTTCTGAATCCCGATGACAATGGCGGAGCTTACTGATGAAGTCAGGAAAGTGTGTGAAATAGAGTGCCACAGTGACGCATCCAAAAACACGGAAGTAAACTCCTTCCGGTTCCTTCAACAAAAACAAATGCAATTTCTCCATAGTATTTTGGAAAATAGCTCGAAATAAGGTCTGTGGTTGACACAGTTAAGAGACGGATCACGTTTTGTTCAGCCGGATCATATACACATGTCTACCCTACTTTTATATTTTCGAATCGATAGATTTATGATTCGAAAACTATAAAAGTAGGGTAGACCTTATTTCGAGCTATTTTCCAAAATCCTATGGAGAAATGTCATTGCTTTTTTGTCGAGGGAACCCGAAGTAGTAAAATGCTAACTTACTTCCGGTTTTTTTTCACTGTGGCACTCTATAGGTGGAGGTTTTAGAATGCAATATCAAGACAGAAGATCTCTGTGACGCCAGATGTGGTGTTGTTAATGCGATATGATATCCGAAAAAAAATTCAGTTTAGGATGGCCGAAGACACTACACTACCCATAATCCCTAGCTATCGTTAGGGACTACAGTCCCGTTGACAAACCCCGTGATTAATCTTCAAGCTCTGAGATTGGATGTTGGAGTAGCAGTGCGCCAAGGTTACGCCGAGCGTCAAGCTCTTTGAAATGGAACAAAACCACGGCAGACTATTCAAAACTGGACTCGAACGCCCCCCCCAGAAATACACATGCTGGCTGTTGTGTTTCGCAACATGTTCTCTATAGCACGTCTCTACTGGGAATTGTAGTTTTAAAAGACGTTTTCGTTTTTCCCAAAATTAGAAGTTGACAGTATTAAACTGTGTACAGCCCTGGAGGTTTAGGCGATAGGAAACACATTGGTGTGTACAAATTTAAAACATGTAATTACTAAATGGGTGAAAATCGCTTGTATCCATAATGGGCAGCATTAATATATACCCACATGACAGCTCATTGTTACTTTGTAATTCTACTCCACTACAATTCAGAGGTTAACCTGGTATTTTTACTCCACTACTGGGCGACTGTGGCTGCGAGGGAGTGCGGTCGTCTTTCAACCAGAAGGTTGTGGGTTCGATCCCAGCCCGTGCAGCCAACATGTCGATGTATCCTTGGGCAAGATACTTAACCCTGAGTTGCTCCCGATGGCATGGCCAACGGTGTGTGAATGTGTGTGAATGTTAGGTCCTAGAGCAAGTGGTACTGCTCTGTATGAATGGGTGTGAATGGGTGAATGACATGTAGTATGTAAAGCGCTTTGAGGGGTCGTAAAGACTGGATAAAGCGCTATATAAGTACAGTCCATTTACCATTTCCATTTACTACATTTATTTTAGTTACTTTGCAGATTCTGATTAATGATGTGAAATATAAACAACCCTTAAAG